ACTCAGCAATAATGTGGTGACCAGTTAACTCAGTTGGTTAGAGCATGGTGCTGATAACACCAAGGTTGCCTGTTCGATCCCCGCATGGGTCACTGTGAGCTGCGCCCTCCCAAAAAGAGTCAACTATGCCATTGTAGCATGAAAACAATGTGTAACCAATGACCATGGCTCTTCCCCAATACATTTTTTTTTTAAAAGAACAAAAAAACTCAACAATGAGAAAACAAACAACCCAATTGAAAAATGGGGGGCCGGCCGAGTGGCACGATGGTTAGGAGCTGGCTTGGGACGCCAGAGGGCCCCGGTTCGGATCCCGCGTGTGAGGACTGGTGACGCTGCCCTCCACGGCTGGGATGCTGAACAGCAGCTCAACTTGGGGCTGGGCTGCCGTGGGTCGCCGGCGACAGTGTGAGCGGCCAGCAACCGCTGTAAGCAGCAGTCCAGAGGCCGGCGACTGGTCTGCCTCGCCCGAGAGAAGCGGTGATGGTGCCAACTTGGGCCAGTGGGGCAACGTCCTCCACAGCTGGACTGAGGAGCAAAACGGCAGCAGCTTGTCTGTTCCCCTTCCCCCCAATTCCCCAATAAAAATCTTTAAAAAAAAAAGAAAAATGGGCCAATGATCTTAACATACACCTCACCAAAGAAGATATCCAGATGGCAAATAAATATATGAAAAGATGTTCCCATCTTTCATCATCAGGGAAATGCAAATTTAGACAACAATGAGTTACCACTACATACCGATTAGAATGGCCTAGATCTGGAACAGATTAAAATTTTTAAAACTGAAAAATACAATATCAAAAATCCATGCTCACCTCTTCTATTCACAGGAAAATCTAGTTGTTCAATAAAATAAGAGAAAGATATATGTCATATATATTAGAATGAAGTAAAACCGCTTTTATTTGCAGATGACATGATCATGTACTTAGATAATCCTAAAGAATCTACAAAAAAAATTCTACTAGAATGAATTACTGATTTAGTATGGTTGCAAGATAAGAGTTCAATATAAAAAAATTGTTCTCTGTATCTTGGATCTACAAGAAGGAATGAGAACTCCAAGAGTGATGCCCTAACAAATTCTTTTAGGGTCTGACAGAGATAAGGAACTTTAATAAAACGGAAAGTTAGGTGAAAAAAAAATGCTTCAGCAAAACTTTGTATAATAAGGAAGAGAAAAGATTCCAGCTTCACTCAGAAGAAAATCAAGCTTCTGGCTCAAAAATTGTTTTGAGTGTATAAGACTAAGAATGCACACAACATTTCTGGGGCACAAAGGTAGATAGCGCCTCCTCTGAAGTGGCCATGTCTGGGTTGACTATCTAGACCCCGTCAAGGATACAAGCCTCTGTTTCCCAGAATCTAGGCATGTACCCTAAGACGATGTTAAAGTTGGACTCTTCTGGTTTCTGTTTCACTGACGGACCAATTCTTTGGCTATCAGATGAATGCCAAAGTGGATGTGAGACAGACCTCAAACCGTACCTACTTTTCTTGAATTCCTCAGCTAAATCAAGGATATAGGAAGGGCTTGGATTTGGAGAGGGAGGGTGTATGGAAAAAAATTATTTGGAGAGAGTTGTTGCCTGGTAGTTTCCCCCATTCCATTCAGATTAGAAGTATGAGGTTCTGTCTGCTTCATCTCAAGCCTAACTAAGGAGTTTCCTTGAAAGCCTGATACGTACCCCCCAGAGCCTGGGGACACTGTGGATAGGTGTCCAATTTATCCATAGGAGTCTGAGCAGACACAATGAGTAAATATAATATGGTGTCCTGCATGGGATTCTGTTAACATCAAGGACTTTGTCTCCATGAAACATCAGAGAGCTTGTTCTCAGCAAGAGAGGATACAAAACCTCAGAAAGGAAACTGAACCCCAGGGCTTCTTCACATTAAATGTACAAGGTGTGATCAAACAATACAGTGAATGTTTATATAAAAAAATTTTATTACAGTAAAAGATGCATTGCCATTAATCCCCCTCAAAATACTCCCCCTCACTTTGAACACACTTATCCATCATTCTTGCCACTTTCTGAAGCAGTTATGGAAATCCTCTTTCATGAGTGTCTTTAGTTGTGCTGTCAGTCAGGTGTGAGCTACGGTAGAGAGAAGGTGTGTTTTAAAGTGTGTAAAAGATGTAAATCATCCTCCATCATGACAACACTCCGTATCACACATCACCTCTGGTATGGCAACTTCTGTCAAATAAACTTTACGGTGTGTCCTCATCGACCTTATTCACCAGATCTGGCACTGTGCAACTTCTGGCTTTTCCCCAGAACCAAAATGAAAGGTAAACATTTTGAATCTATTCAGGACATTGAGACAGCCACGACAGTGCAAGTAAAGACACAAAAGAGGACTTCCAGAACTGCTTCAGAAAGTGGCAAGAATAGGGCCGGCCGAGTGGTTCAGTTGATTAAGAGCTTGCTCAAGAGTACAAGCTCTGAGCAACAGCAGTTTGAGTCCTGGCCCAAGCTGAGCTGCCAACGGGTGGGAGGATGGCTCAGCTAAAAAAAAAAAAAAGAAGAAAGTGGCAAGAATGGTGAGATAGCTGTGTTTGAAGAGAAGGGGATTAATGACAATGTGTCTTTTCCTGTAATATTTTTTTTAATTTAAACATCCACAGTATTTTTTTATCACACCTCATAACTGTTTTGCTTTTGAAAATGCATCCAGCATTGCATGTGTCTTGTTTGTTCCTCCCCTAACTACTCTTTGAAATGAGAGAGAATGGCGGGCAAGAGTGTGTGTGGAGGGGGAAAAGTGGTGGGGGTGGGGGGTGGGACAGGTATACAGAGATGCCAAAGCAACCTGGACTAGTCCCACAGGACTAGAAGCATCTTCTACCATTTGTAAGTGACACTCTACGATAAGCATATTTCTCCAGTGGATACTCAAGTCCCCTGGTTTTCCCAGATTCCCCCCTTGGCCCCGACACTCTGGCATGGCTTCCGTTACCCTAGAGGCTGTAGCTTGCACAGCTGCTCAAAGGCCCTGGAGGCACACTACGACCAGCTTGGAGCCATGAGAGTTTAGCTGAGTTCTGCTGTGCTATTTGGGGACCCTGAGGTCTGGGCTGGCTGAGAGGCTGTTTTGTTTGCCTTGGCAACCTGCCATGGCCAGTGAAGCAAGGCACCAGCAATCCAAGAGTCAGGGCTTGTTTGTAAGTTGCTTCTCACCAGAACTGACCTCACAAGGCAGCAAGAGATCTTGTCTGTAGTAGAATAGAGAGAACTTGACCACGGAGCTGCAAGACCAGAGGCCCACCTACTCAAGCATTTCCCAAAGCAGGTAACTCACGCACTGGTTTTCAGGGCAGCTAACAGGTTTTACCCAAAAGAGTATCTCATAATCAAGGAAACCTGTAAAACATTAGATTTAAAACATAATAAGATTATTTTCTACATGCCTTTTTAGAACCTAATTGCCAAGAGGTTAGCCTCTTCCCAGTTTTGCTCTGTGATTGTGAGCTGAGCTTCAGTTTCCTCATCTGCAGTGTAGAAATAATAATGCCCACCTTGGAGAATTGCTGTGAGGGTAAATGAGATCATCAGCACAGAAGCAGTCAGTATGTATCTCATGTAGTCCGCAAATTTTAGTTTCCGTTGCCTTCATTTTCTCTCTTTTTTTTAAGATTTTCATTGGGGAATTGGGGGATAGGAACAGTGCTGGGGAATTGGGGGAAGGGGAACAGACAAGTTGCTGTCCTTTTGTTCTTCAGTCTAGTTGTGGAGGACGTTGCTTCACTGGCCCAAGTTGGCACCATCATTGCGCTCTTCCCGGGCGAGGCAGATCAGTCTCCATCTTCTGGACGGCCGCTCACACTGGCTGCTGGCTACACACGGTAGCCCATGGCAACCCACTGCAGCAGGGGCCGCAGCCCTCGGTGACTCATGGCAACCCAGCTCCAGGTTGAGCTGTTCAGCATCTGAGCTGTAGAGGGCAGTGTCACTGGCCCCCATATGCGGGATCCGAACCGGGGCCCTCTGGTGCCCCAAGCCAGCTCTTAACCAACGCACCACTCAGCTGGCCCTCCTTCATTTTCTCTTTTAAAATTTCTCCTAGGCTCAGTAAATCACTCCTAAGTACAACCTTGTGTGAAATTATTTGAAACTCATTTCCTGGGCTCTAGATGGCATCAGGGTAATTTGTATACAATGAAAGCTCCTATGCAGCTCGCCTGGTAGGATAGGGGGAAACCAGGCCCCATGGGGCAGAAATCCTGGTAAACACAGGAACGTGGCACCCACTGCACACTGCGAGTGGAAGACCTGCTCTCGAGGCTTGAGTGGCAGCTTCCCCTTCTCCTGAGTCACTATGGAACAGATGGAATCCTGGGATAAAATACACATCACAGATTCATAATTGCAAGAGAGGGAACTTGGTAGCTGGCTGAGCAGAAGCACTAGACCAGGGGTCGGCAAATTTTTGAGACGGAAGAGCCACCAGGGGTCGGCAAACTGCGGCTCGTGAGCCACATGCGGCTCTTTGAGTACATACAGGTGGCTCGAACATATTGGGTTGTCGAAAAAGTCATGACATTTTTTTCTATGTTTTTTGTTGCAAAAATGCATCATGACTTTTCCGACAACCCAATAAAATCGAAAATGAAAATAAAACTATCATAGTTTCATTTATAATATTACTTTAAATTTTCCTTATATGTAAAAATATATTTATGGCTCTCAAATAATTTTTAAATTGTTGTGAGGGACAGGATTGGCTCTTCCAGGGGTTGGCAAACTTTTGAGACAGAACATACCCAAAGAGCCACATGTGGCTCATGAGCCACAGTCTGCCAACCCAAGCACTAGACCAGGAGTCAGAGGTTTTCAACTGGCTGTCTACCCTCTCAATGTTTGTACTTCCTGAGCTGTAAAATGCAGGTGTGTGGGCAGGTGATCTCCACCCTCTCTTCATCTAATCCATGTCGATCTCCATATAAAAGGTTATCAACTGTGGCCTAGTCACAAGTCCAAGAAGCACAGTCCAGGCACCCAAAATTATTTTATTGAGACTGGAGCAATTTACAATAAAGAACTCATTACAGCACATTGGGAAGACTCAAGTTTTACAAATTTCACATTCACAAATATAAATCACTGTTTGCTCTGAAGCAACATGAGGCAGGGGGGTTGGGGGGTTGGGGGGAGCAGACAAGGTACTAGGGGGAGACACAGACCTAATGGGCCATCAGTGGGTCTGTCCCAGAGAAAGCCTTTGCTGTGACTCAGCAGTATTTTTAGATGTCCCCACAGAGGGACAAAGTGAAGCTTTCCCCGTGATTCTAGAGCAAGAAAAACCTTCTGTAGCCCTGCTGCCTTTCTCTTTCTGGTTCATAGAATTTCTACGGCAGCCTTAAGATGAAACCATTAGCTACTTCTCAACACCACGAGGACAATAGGCACAGACATGGGAGCCACTTGGCCAGAAAAATCCATCTGGAGATCCCTATGGGCTCAGAAGTTTCTCTCTGGCCCATGAAAATCAGTTTTTTACCCACCATTCAGATGATGATTTTTCAAACTTTACATCTTGAAAATTTTCAAACATCCTCATTGAGAGAATTGTATAATAAAAGCCCATAGTTCATTATAGGGAAGCAAATGATATGGCTAAGTTTGTCTCAATTAACAGCCAAGAGATCTAAGAGAACCTTGGACAAACCCCTTTTCCCCGAACCTCAGTTTTCCACTCAGCTCCATATTCATTCTTCACTTTCAGGATCTATCTGGTGCTAGAAAGAAACCTAAAACCAACGTGAGAGTGGTAATTGTTTACGGCTGGTGAGTTAAGCTCTAGTCTGCCTGATGTGTCTTTCTTCTGGGTGACACAATGAGTCACTCAGGACCAGATGGAAGGTGATGAAAACGCTCAGTCTCTGGAATGAGATTTCTCTGGCAAGCTGAGTCCTTAAGGACTACCATGATGCCACAGGCTTCTGTAAGTGACACGGGAGCCACCAGGGTGATGCCGACAATGAAACAGCCTTCTTATTCAGACAACACAGAGAATGGCCTGTCTAGACAACTTGAGAGGGTGAGGTGTCTAAACACAATGATTTCCAGCATGCTGGAAAGCCTTGCTCTCTCATCGCCTGTGAAAGCAAGGCAGTGTTTTACCACCTCTTGTTCTGTGTGATTGCAGGAAAAAAAGGAATTATGCCTCTTGGATGAGTTTTGTTCCTGGATCATCACGAAGGCTGCCATCTCAGGAGAGGTACTTGAGCCAGGCCCTTCCCACCGCTGACAGCAAGAGGAAGGCCATGTGTCAGCTCTGTGACAGCCTGCTCCCTGGGTTCCTCTCCCACACTTCTTCTCGCGCCTCTAGTGGACACTATACCTGGGAGAGGGGCTCAGAAGTTCTCGGCTATGCCCGTTTCTTGCTTATCGCTACATGGAAAAGTATAATTCAGAATGAAATGAAAAGTGCACGTACACACACAAGTACACACACACACACACACACACACACACACACGTTCCAAATAAATCCACAGCATGTCAACAGAACTCATTACAAGCTGGTGGGAGAAGGGGGTGATTTTTATTTCCCTCTTTGTGCTTTTCTGAATTTTCCAAAGTTTTAACAATAATTTTTCTCTGTTTTAAGGAGCCAAATTGGTCCTCTCTTGTCATATATCAGGGCAGGCCACCACAGAATTGTGATTCATCCTGGTCCAATGACTTTTAAAGCGAGGCATAAAAACATCCGTGTCTGCTCTGGCTCGCTAACCCTCCACTCAAGCAGAGCTCCGTGCAGCTGGGTTAGCCACGCCCACTGTATGACTCAGGTGTCCTTTATGAAGGCTCAGAGGTAGGGAGACTGGTAGGTAAGGCAGCTGCCTGACAGTTTGAGGCAATTTACTGACTCAGCCCCCATCTGGGCTGAAGCCGTCTTGGTCTCTGGCTCAGGGAACCAGGGTGATGTGCCTCACAGCATTTCTTAGACAGGAATTCATAAACATGTGTCTAGTTGGTAGGTGCCTTTTAGTTTTCACATGAAACGTGGCTAGAAGGCTGGGCAGATTCCTAGGAACTCAAGAGTCTTACAGCCTCTGCAGGAACTTATTTCCAGCATGGTGAAGGTCATGTATGAGGGACAGGCTCTTTTCCAGGCTCTGTCCTCAGGCCCTCTCCCAACCTCAGCTGCAGACACAGCCCTCCCCCTGCCTCTACCCAGCCTCCTCTAACTCATCGCCACAATGGGCTCCACAGACGAAAGGTCTGTCTTCCCAGACTGGAGCTGGGAGGAAGGCAGGAGGGGGTTGGCTAGTGGAGCCCTCCTGCCATGGCCCTTCTCTGTCCACGCCACCCTGAAGGAGGGGACTGGGGAGGATGGCCGCTCCTCCTGAGGCTTGGGTGGCCTTTGGCACATGCTCAGTAACGCCTTCAGCTCCACCCTGAAGTTCTCATTAAGCCAGCAGTAGATAAAGGGGTTGTAGCAAGTGCTGCTCATGGCAAACCAATGGAAGGCAAAGTAGAGGGCATTGTTGGTGCGGATGACCTTGCTGGACAGGAGGAGGACGTAGCAGTTGAGGGGGAACCAGCAGAGGGCAAAGAGGACCACCACCAGCATCAGCATCTTGATGGTCGTCTTCTTCTTGCGCCGTAGGGCCAGGTACTGCTCCGTGGTCACATCACCAATTGTGTTGCACAGCCACAGCTTTTTGGCCACACGGGCGTAGGCCACAGAGATAATGAGGAGAGGCAGGATGTAAAGCAGGATGAAGGTGGCCAAGTCCAGGTACTTCCAGAACAGGTCAGCTGGCTCAGGGAAGTCTGGCAGGCACAGTGAGCGGACAATGTCCTCACTTGGGGCACGAGGAGAGAAAAACAGAGAGAGACGGAAACACAGAGACAGGGAGAAGGAGGCTGTGCCGGTGATCTGGAAAGGCTTCTTCCCAACAAGCACCGGCCTCTCCCTCCACTGGGTTCCTGGTACCTCGTCCTGGTACCAGCACTTCCGATGCTGCAGCCTAATGATCTGATTATGTTGCTGGCTCTCCCACTAGGCTAGTTCTATAATGATAAGGAATTCACCGGGATCTCTCTGTGTCCTCTTCACCTTGTATTATTCCTAGCCCATAACACAGACTCAACAAATTATCTGTTCAATGAATGAACACTGGTGTTCCTCGTCTTATAACCAACACATCCTGGGAGCACCATGTATTCAGGAACATCTGGAATTCCCACCATACTACCTATTCCCATTCCAGAGAGGAACCAAAGAGCAGTGCAAAGACATGACTTCAGCCATTCATATAACAGGTATTTATTTTCCATGCAACATACCCAGTCCTCTTGAAGCTTTTCAGGGATATCCATGTGTGTTGGAAAACCCAGAGTTGGTGTGTTAACCTAAGAATATGCAGATTACAACCTGCTGAGTGAGGACGTGCAGGCCACTCACACCTGGCCGGAGGGAGTGTCCAAGCTCCCACTGTGGGGAAGTGAAAACCCCTGGGGAAGGTTCAATACATTCACATAAAGGAAGCAGGGTCACGAGGTTCATTACTATCAAATCCCAGAACAGGGGTGTAATAAGGCGGGGAAAGGCAGCCCAACATCCCAGGCCAGGAGCGAGCAGGGGACACGTATTACTTATAAGGTGGTTGAGATGGTAATTACTAATTTCTCACGGGCTCAACTCAGAGGGGTCATTTTAAAAGATGCCCCCAGGAAATGCAAGGCAGGGACTTGTCACAGTAATCTTAAACTTGGGTCCTTATATAAATGTCCAGACTCAGTGTGAGCAGGGGTGTCAGACTGTAAAATCCCCAGGCAGGAACCCAAAATGAGTTTTCTCATCATATTATGTGGTTTGTCGCTCTCATGATACGTGCTGGTGGTCATCGCTAGTGAGCGAATGAGAGAACTCTCTGCTTTTGTTAGGAGAAAAAAAAAATAGCCCTCCATATGTGAAGGCAGATGGGGAGTCTGAGAGCTGTGGGGTTCGGGTATGTGATTCATTCCGGTATCAGCTTTCAGAGCTTTTAGTTGAAATTGGCTTTCAGAGCTTTTTCTCTTGATGCTGCTTATGTCACAGGAGTGGGTTTAAGTGTTTGTTTCAGGTGAGGAGCACATGGCTACTGCAGGACACACTAGCAGGGCACCCCCAGATCCCCTCTGATCCTTTTTACGGTCTGGAGTGCCAGGCCCCCAGCTTCTGCCCGCCCTGAAAGAAATAGGGGGCACCTGTGATCTTCTAGGTGCTTAGGACTACGCTAGGGCTGCTGAAGGCACTTTCTACTGATTCACTAAGAGCCAGAAGTGGCTGGGAGTTTCCCCCGGAGGCCTGGAATATGAAAGCCAGGTCCAGTTGCCTCAAGGCTGGCAAACTCTGTTACCAATTTGGTCCCTTACCCATTACTCCTGGGAGTGCTTTCTTTAAAAACCATGGGCACATGTACCTTCCTTTCGCTCAGGGTCTATCTCTAAGGAACTTCATCTAAAACAACTATGAACTGATGGAAATCATTCCAAGCTCATTTATTAATTCAGTCAGTAAATATGAATGGAGGGCTTTTTATGTGGAGACAGTAAGTTAGGCGTTAGGAACACCAAGGTAGCAAAGTCAGAAATGGGGCCAGCTCTCCCCGGCCTTACAGTCTGCTGGGGGAGATCACCCTTATAAACCACTAGCACACAGGGCTGCTGACATTTAAAAAAAAAACAAAAAACGAGACAGCTGAGTGCTTTGAAAGAACTTGTCATCCTGTGAGCTGTATGACAAAGAGGCCTGAATGGGAGGTGGAGGGAGGCAGAGCACCCAGCCTCAGACACATAGATACATACATGTTTTGTGTGCAGGTTGTGCAAGAGAATTTAAACGCCATTTTCAACAGGGCCTGGGTGATTTCAAATCTCAGTCTGTGAGAGTACATGCCCACAGTTACTAATCAATACTGCCTGGATCTTGCAGACAAACTAGACAGAGGCTAAGGAGGGAGCTGAAGTTTTTGAAAAGGAAAGATGAGAAAAAAGAGAGGAAATGCAGAGGACAGGCACTCGCCTGGAAGCAACAGGATGAGAGAGGTGGAGAATGGCTCCACGAGGCAGGTGCCGCGAATTCGGAGATTCAGGGAGCTCACGTTCCTCCCTGTCAGGGTCCTCTGGGTCCCCAGGCTGCTCCCTCCCAGTTAATCTCACCTGTATTTGAAGGTAAATAATTTCTGGCAGATAGCGTGTGGGAGTGAAAAGAAGGTAGCCATGACCCAGATGACTGCGATGTAGATGACACCTTTTGTGATGGAGATCCTGGGCTTCAAAGGATGCATAATGACCTGGAAAACAAGCAAACGTTGCATTACTGGCTGAATGAGGACGTTTTGAAGCAAATGAGGAATCCAGCTGACACAGCTCACTCATCACAATACGACAGGTAGGTAGGTCCTATTTATAAAGTCAAGCACTGAGCTGCACCAACCCCAAGACCACCCTCAGGGGTAGAGAAGGGGTGTCTTGTGGACCCAGAGACTCCAGGCAGTTCAAATGCCACTTGCAGGTCATACACGGCAGGACCAGGGTACAGCAGGAGAACGGGAGGGGTGACGGAGGAGGTGTGCTTTCAGGACACCCACAGCCCCACAGCAGCGCTGGCAAGAGAAATGAGCCATGGCCAGCGCAGGATCTGATCCTGGCTCCCATGAGTCTCAAACGCTTAAGATACAAAGGATTCCGAGAGGGTCTGAGGGAGACAGACATGGAGATACACCATGTATCACGGGAAGCTGTGTTCATGTTTTGGGGGTTCACAACACAGTTTATGAAAGCCATTACTAAAGTTGTAGTGGGGCCTGGCTTCCCCATACCTACATAATAAAGCCAGTGTTCTGGGCTTCGGGCCGAATTGCTACTGTAAGCCAATTGGTTCTCCTCAAAAGGTTTAAATAAAGACTTAGGACTTTAACAGCATCCTCATTTTAAGATCAGAATCATTATCTCTTGAAAAAGGCAGTTTGGGATAGGTGAGTCCAGGGTCGGGGGAGACGTAACGAGTTGCCACCTCCTCAGGACACCATCCCGTGACACTGGATGCTCTGGCTGTGAACCTCCAAGTTTTTCTCCTCATTTTTCAAGGTTTTACAGAAGGACGTGACTGGGCTTTAGAAGGCTGACCAGCACATTCTTGGCCATCTTTGTCCCTCAAGCTCCTTCGTTGTTCAGGTTGCTGAAGGGAGCCTGAGTCACAGGCTCCAGATGCCACTTAAATTCTTCTGGCTTCAGGTGTATGTCACAGCAGCACGGTCAATGTGGGCAAGATTTCTACCCTGTTCCTCAGTCCCACCTTTGGCCCAAGGGTCAGCTCGCAGTCAGCTGTGTTAAGTGGGGGTAAGCACAGGTCAGCAAGGGTAATCCAGAGTCCCTCTTGCTGAATTAGGGGAGAAAAGGAAGAACGGGCAGGAAATACCTGTGTGCAACGTTTTCACACTTTGTGCCAAAGCATCTGCAACATAAATTCCAAAATGATGGCATTTCAGGGATAAAGAGATTTCAGAGTTTGCCAAGTCCAATTCCCTATCCGATGCATGAATCTCCTCTAACCATCCCCACCAGACCTTGCTTAAATATGGCTGGTGACAAGAAACTCATTACCTCTCCAGGCAGCTGTATGTACCTTACGACACTTCTATTAGAAAATTCTTCCTCATACTGAGCTGCATCTTTGAATTTGCATCTTTGAGTCCTCCTATCCCTTAATCCTTGTTGCACCCCTTGGAGCTACTCAATAAATTCTATCTCTATCCCAGTGGTTCTTATAATATTGACCTTATAGGTGCCCTTGAGTCTTCTCAGAGCAGGGTGGACTAGTGATCAGAGCACGGGCTTGGAGCCAGACGGGCCTCTATCCTAATCCTAGCTCCATCATTCGCCAGGCATGTGATCTTGAGGAAGCTATGAATGCACTTTTCTGAGCTCGATTCCACACAGACCCAAGTATCCAACATGGATTCACTGAGTTACCACGTATGAGTTGCCTGCCACGGAGACGTCCTTCTCCAGGATGGACACCCTCATGTCCCCTTCAGTTCCCTTCACTGCATCCACCCATGTGTGTCCAATGGGGCAGGACAGTGAACAGAGCCTTCATGCCCCACCCCAGTGCCTGCTCCTGCCACTTGGACGCCCTGACTTGTTTTCCTCCTCAACAGCTTGGGCCAGAGAAGACCCATCCCCCAGTCAGGAGCCTTATCTCCGACTTGTAATTATTTGCCACTCTTTTTTCATCTGTGATTTTTCCAGGTCTGCTTTTCTATCCCTAAAACAAGCTCATTAGTTTCTGAGACACAAAACACTAGCTAGCAGTGAGTCTTCTTTGGGACAACAAACTGGAATAATTTTTTGTAGCACCTAGCACAAAGGGTTTCATATACAATCTATACTTCTCAATAGGAAGACAAGTACGTTCATTGAAAAATGGGCTAAAACACTGTCGTGAGGGCCCCCACAAACGTCTGGAAAACAAAGCCAGAGAGGGAAGGACAGGGCGTTGGGTGTAGGTACCCTCACCTGGTGGCGGTCTACAGCAATGGCTGTCAGTGTCAGTGCTGAGACATGCAGGGAGCAGTACTGGGCGAAGCGGCTGATGTGGCACATGCCTTTCCCGAACACCCACGTGCTGTTCACAAAGCGGACCTGGAAACGAGCCCACAGTCAAGAGATGAACAGGCTTTGACCCTGACACCCCCACGCCCCAACCCCCATGGTCTCTGAGGAACATCCCCCGGAGGGCGTCTTCCAGCCCCTCCCTTCTTCCACTCTTCACTGCTGTACTGGGGGGTCACAGGTGATTTTCTCTAGCATGACTCATTTCAATCATTCAATTCAACAAGCCATGATCATGCTACTGGAGCCAGGTTCTGTTAGGTGCCAGGAGAGCATGGAAAGGACATGGGCTTTGGAGTTGGACTTTCCACCTATACTAGTTTCTAGCTGTGCAACCTTGGGCCAGGTATATAACCTCTCTGAAACTGTTTCCTCATTTGCAAAAAAAAATAAAAATAAAAAAGCTTGAAAATCTCTACCTTGCAGGCTTATTGTAAGGATTAAGGTTTTAAAAGCCTATAAAGGGTGGGACACAATGTCTGGCAGATTTCTAGAAAGATATTACTAGAAATAAATAGTAGCTATTTTTATGGTAATAATAAAATTAATTCTTGGCCCATGTTAGCTCAGGATAATGGGGGACACACATCTGAAAAGTCACAACATAGCATGTGGGCTGTGTTCACGAATGTTGGATAAGCAGGCCTTGCAATATGTAGTTTGGAACGGAGACCCAGGGGCCTGGAGAGGCGTGGATAGGGGCAGGGGTGGGAGATGCAGGGGGGGAGAAGGTGAGCTCTCAGGACAGTGTGGAGCTTTAGGACCAGGCCTAGGCTACATCCCAGGGTTATTTGTTCACTCAATCAGTGCTTGAGCAGCTCCTGTGAGTAATGTCCCATACCCGAGAGGGTTCAGGCACTGACTCTGATCAAGAAGCTTCCAGTCGGGGCAGAGGAGGACTCAGGTATCTTAAATACAAGGCAGCAAGTATTCAATGTCCTACAGAAAGTCCAGACAAAGGGTACTGGGGCCACCAGGTGGAGAGAGAATGGGCAAAGGCAGAGAGAGAGAGAGAGAGAGAGAGAGAGAGAGAATGAATGATGATGATAGAGAAAAATATAGTAAGTCAGCCTGACAGAAAAAATACTGTGCAGTGGTTTTACAGCAGAGTATTTGCCACTTAAAGCTGTCACTTCGAGCAAAGCATTTAGGCCGTATGAGCCTCACTTTACTCATCTGTAAGATGGGGCTATCCCTTTTCACATAGTTGTTATGAAAATTAAATAGGAGATTCCACAATTAAAGTAGGTACAATAATGCCTAGTCTATAGCGAGTACTTAACACAGCTAACTACCATTATTATAACACATTAGACATTTGAGATGAGCTTTAAAGAACAGGCAAGATTTGTACGTGTACTTGAACATACGTGGCACCGGGTCAGAAATCTCAGGACCTGTTTGGGGAACAAGGAGTGGAATAGTTTAGCTGGATTGTGGAAAAGTCAAGATGGTGAACCTGGGACCGCAGACCATGGCCTTCACTCTGTTTGCAATAAGCGGGGAGGAGCCCCAAGAGGCTTCTGAGCAGCCCAGTAACATTACAGAGCTGGCAGTCTTTAGCGACGCCTACTTCTCACCTCCCATATTCGAGGGATTACCAAAGCCAGACACTGCTACCTCTAAATGGTTTTCAACCCGTTCCCTCTCCTCCAGTCCCACGGCCATGGCCCTAGTGGAATGTCCCATCATCTCTCACCGGGACCACTACAGCCTGCTGATTGCTATCCTTGTCCTCCAGTGTGGTCCCCTTGTAACTCAGCCTTGACACTGCTGACAGTATTTTTCTTAACCATTTTGTCACCTTCCGGCTTAGAATCATCATGGCCCCAAGGACAGAGCCAGCTGCCTTATGAGTATCCAGATCCATTCATAACGTGGCCCCAGCCTTTCCGTGGGACTCACCTCTGCTTCTCCCACGCCCTGCCGGCCTCTCCACTGTGCTTCCTGCCTCCACTGCTCCAGCTACACTGAGCCACTGATGCTCACTCAACGCACCATGAGCTCTGATGCCCCTTGTCTTTGTTTTCCCAGGTCCCTCTGTCTGCACTGAGCATTCACCACGACCTGGGAAATTCCTACGCATCCTGACCCCTTTGAAATGTCACATTCTTTGTTAGGTCACTGGTGGGTCTCCTTTGACCCTCTCCAGGGACTCTGGCAGGTCAGAATGAATGACTCCCTCCTTGGGGATCCACCACACTCAGTGTATGTCTCTGCCATGGGAACTGTAAGTAATTATTCACTTTTCTCCCAATGACCAGAGCTGGACTTTATGCTGATGCAGTGTGTAAAGAGACCAGGGGAAAAAGATATAGTCACCAACCAGCCTTAGAAGACCCCCCCCCAACCCCTTCACTCTCCCTGGTTGTCAGCACCTTGGAAGCTCTGACAGGAGCTTAAATTGCAGCAGTTCCATGGGTCAGGTTGAAGGCCAAGCTGCTTTGGATCCACCTGGAAGGGGTGCTGGGTTCTCAGGACCTTAACATCCCCTCCCTCAAAGGAGAGCCTCTGGGGCAGGGGTTGTCAGCTCTCACCTGGGGTCCGTGGCTTCCTCCCCCAGGTACCCATGAGTCTGCTGCAGATCTAGTGTGCATCCTACTCTGGGCAGCAGCACACGGCCATGCCCAGGGACCCTTCAGTTTCCATCCTGGGCGGCCTGGCCCAACTCCAGCATTGTAGATTGTCAGGGTAGAAGCTGGGGGGTGGGGGAGTAAAGAGGAGTGAGAGATGCACTCTCTTGTGCTTCAAGGCAGCAAGGGGGAGAGTGTTTATGTGTGTGGTGAGGGGGGAGAGAGGGCGTATTTGGAAGCCGCTTTGTCATCGGTGAGTGCTCTGAGAGTCCTGAGTGGCTAGGAATCCTTTAGACATAGACTGAGATGAGAACAGAAAAAGTCCATAGTTTGGAGTAGTGGAAGCTTAAAATGGTCCAAAGTGCCCCTTGCTCCCACTCCCGGGTTGGGTAGCTTAGTGAACAGACCTCTGGGCTTGAGTCAGGGGAAATAATACTCATCCGGCTCTGCTAATTACTAGCCAAATGACCTTGGACAAGGGATTAAATATCTCTGTGCCTTAATTTCCTCATCTGCAAAATGTGAGTAATGTTCTCATAAGTGAGGACAAGAGAGAGAATGTACCGTATTTCCCCATGTAGAATACATACCCTTTTTAAAAAAAATTGGGGTCTAAACACTGGGTACGTCTTATACAGTGGTTGTAGTTTTTTTTACCTGCATTTCCCGCTGAGGACAAGGCAATATATGAAGACAGTGATTCATCATCAGACACAGATGAGGACAAGCTAATGGTTGGGAGTTTTGACAGTGATGAGGAGTTGTATGAATTTTATGATGAATAAAACTTGAGTTCAATAA